GGATCAATCTTGGTTGAGAAGGTGATTGGGACTCATCTCTAGCCCACAGGTGTGAAGGCCTCCCTCCACCCACAACCCTGGCCTGTCAGGCTTCTTCAAATGTGAGGATAAAGAATTCATCCGCATGCACTCTCTTCCTGTTCCTCAGTTTCCCACAGGGCTGCGCAGGGCTTAAGAGGCCACCCGAAAGGTCATTGACTGGGACCCACTGACCGCTCTGAGAGAGGAAGATGTACAGTCCGTTCCCATAAAGCACAGCGCCTGGGGAGCCCGACAGGACTGCAGTGTGCTATGAACCAGAGTCACGCTGCTGGGCCAGGTTGACTAGAGAAACAAATCCAGCGACAAGCACGCATGTATCACAAAGAGCTTTATACCCAGGAGTCATTGTAGATCAGAGAAGCAGCCCAGCCCAACTCAAGTCCGTCAGTCCTTCTTCAGACGCACACAGCCACGTGCAATTGTGGGGTTAAGGGGAAGAGAGAACCCCACAAAACATCACAGGTCCGGTAGGCGCAATTGTACAGCGATAATAAGTAGAGGTTATAGTAAAGTCAGAGAGCATGAGAGTTAAAGGATGGAGTCAAGTAATGGAGTCAGACGCAATTCATGGTAGCATAGCTCATCTCAGCTAGGCTTGGTGGTCCTCGTGGAGGGGGCTTAGCCGTCAGAGAAGAAGCCGCTGCTTCGTCTTCCTTAGTCCCCTTCCCCAGCGACCCTCCCGAGAACCAGGGAGCCTCATTATTTATTGCTAACCACACATCATATCTGATTACAGAGCCATACACCACAGAAAGGGGCAATACATTTCATTCTAGAACAAGTTTGATCACTCTAATGTCTAGTATAATAAAACAGACAATTACTATTCTGGGAGGCATGCAAGTCCCCTGATAGCGGACAATAACCTAAGTCACAGGGAGGGGTATTAACACAGGCAATACAATCAATAGGAGGGGAATCACCTAGGGGTTGTGCCCACATTGGTTGTGGAATAACAATGGTGTCTGCTTGCTCTAGACAGCTGATAATGGCCACCTAACCTTGGTCATCCTTGGGCGGGTTTGCCCTCTCTGGTATCTCCTGCAAGTAAACAGACAACCGTTATCATTATCAGAAGGGAGTGGGTCTTATTTAGGGTGAGTCAGACTAATAGTCTAGCCACTATAGATGGCTGATGTTAAGGAGAATAACCTCTGACCTACTTTCGCTGATCACCTACAGTGACCTACAATCACTCTTAAGCAGCTAAGTCTGGCATATATTTTGGGGAGACAACTT